TGCTGTGCCCAACTTTTCCCTGGTGTTTCCCCTCAGGCACGTGTGGCTATGATGGAATTTGATTTCTGAGAGACCAGAGCATCCAGAAACTGAGCTGGGTTCGATCACACAATGGACCAGGTGCAATAAAATCCAAGCCTTTTTTCCCTGCACTATCTGCTGAAGGTGCTCAGTCATGCAGTGCTTTTCATAAACACTGACCTAAAACCAAGAAAGTTTAAACAAAAGGGTTTAACATTTCCCCTTCCTTCTCCTTTCAACCCCAAAGAGAATAATTTTGGAGTTAGAAAAACATCACTTTAATTCTTACAAAAATAGCCTTGAATTGCCCTGTTTTGTTCCGACCTCCTTCTCCAGCACCGCTCCAGCCCTATTCCCTGCCCAGCACTCCGGATGCACATTTTCCCTCATCACATCCCTCTGCCTGTGCACCCTCTTGCACATCCCTCCGCTTCCAGGTCGCTCCGGCCTGGAATCTGCTCCTCTTGCACATCTATCGCCAGGTCTCGTCTCTTCCATTTGCTTCGATTGCCCTCTGCTGGGCGCCGGCGAAGGGAAGCCCTGGGAAGTGCCTCCTCTCCCTTTCCCTCTCTTCTCCTTCCCTCTCCTTGACATGGTTGTGTGTGAGATAAAAAATCAGCTCCAGAGCTCTTCACGCCCAGAACGGGGTCAGACTTTTCCCCCAGGCTCAGAGGGGGATGGAAGGAGCTTATCCTGAGCATCCTGATCCCTTTGCTCCATGCAAGCTTTGCTTCTCACCCGAGGCCCACAGGGAAAGCACAGAGTGGTTTGTACATGAAACAGAGGGAAACAGGAGATCTGGAAGGGCCACACACCCGAAGGAGGTGCTGGAGTCACTGGAGAGGAGCTTCAGACTGCCCAGCTGGAGGTAAGGTGGGGCTGAATCCCTGAACCAGGGGTTTTGGATTCAGTGAGGAGACAGTAGGAAAACAGGGCAGCTCTCCAAGGGACCCAGGCAGCAATGGAGGGCTGCCCTGACTCATAGAATCATGGAAGGAGAGAATCATGGGCACAGGAAATCAGAGAATCAAGGAATCACAGAACCATGGAATTGCAGAATCAGAAAGTTATGGAATACTGACATCATAGAATTGTAGAATCATAAAATCATAGAATCATGAAATCATAGAATTGTGGAATCATGGAATGACAGAATCACAGAATCATCGCATCATGAAATCATAGAATCATAGAATCATAGAATTGTTTAGATTGGAAAAGCTCTCTAAGATCGAGTCCAGCTGTCCCCTCAGCACTGCCAAGCCCCCCATTAAACCTAAAAACAAGACATAAAATCGAAAGTTAAAAGGCTTTAAGCATCTCCTCTTCTTTCTTCATCCACCCCCAAACCAAATAATTTTCGACATATGAAAATATTGTTTTTCTTTCAATCCTACCAAAGAAGCCTTGAATGGCTTTGCTTTGCAACATCTCCACCTCAAACTGCCAAATCCATGAGTCTTTTGAACCCTTCCAGGGGTGGAATTGAAGGGACACTGTGTCTCATCCATTAATGACAGGAAAAAGGTGCACTGAGCTGCTGATGCTTCAAGATCGAAGAGCATCAACAACACCAAGACCCACAAAGCCCTGAGGGCACTGGAAGAGGAGGGAAACCATGGGAATGTGGGCTGGTTGTGTCACACCAAAGTGGTGAGAACTCTGTGGGGGCCTGGGAGCAATTTTGGGGAGGGCGAAGCTGAGTGCAAGTGTCCCACTTGGGGCCATACAGGAATCTCCAGGCAGGAATACGAGGATGTGCAGCTCCATCCCAGAGATAACCGTGTCCCACGCTGGGCCACAGCCAGCCAGCTCAGAAAAAAAGGAACAAACTGGCAGCATTCAGAGGAATATTCCTCATTTCCAAGCATATCATTTCTGCCCTCCAGCACAAAGCCCCCACCTCAGCTTTTTAGCAGCTTTTGCATTTTATCAGGCTCAGTCCAAGGTGGAAAAGGGGAGGGAGGAAATGGAGACCACTTTCCTTTGAGAACTGGTGGGATTTCAGCAGCAGAGATGCTGTGGGAGCAGATTGAGACTCTCCCATCTCTCCCCAGAGCTGGAGGGAAGGGATGGGCCAGAAAAGATGGATCAGAGAGCAGGAGAAAGGGATCCCCTGGGAATTACCAGCTTTGACAGGGCCATTCTTTCCTCCTTCAGCATGAAGCCACCTCCCACCATTCCCCCATCCCACGTGGACCTGCTTCTCCCCAGCACCTGGAGAGAAAGCTTGGAGCAGGGCAGCACAAGAAGGAAAAGAGGAAAAAAATAACAGCAGATCTTTGGGCACCAAGGGGATGGAAATGAAGGTGTCTCCAAGATTTCCAAGCCTGTGTCCCTTGGTCACAGCTGGCACCGGCTGGGCTGAGGAGGGGGGACAGACAGCAGCCCGCCAGTTTCTGCTTTCAGAGGTCCTCACACCCCCACTGGATTACAGACGATGGAGGAGAGGAAAGCCTTATACCAATTAACTCCCAAAGTGTAATTAACATCTGGGGCAGCTCTATGTGATCACCAGCTGCTAATGAAGCACAGCACCGCTTTAATTCCTGCACCATCTCCTTACTAAATCCAGGAGCAGGTTCCGTCACATTCCCCTTAGAGAGAAAAAAGGAAAGAGAGGGAAATGGAGCAGGATTTGTCTCAATGCAATACGATTAGAGTTTGCTGGATAAAGAAAGTAGGGATGGGGGGGAGGGCATGGAATGGGGAATTTTGTAGGAGTGTGCGCGCATGGGCATCTGGATATTCTCCCCCGTCATGACCTCCCTCCGTCCATCAGCCTGGGATTGGCTTATTCCAATGAGCAGTGTCTTTGCTCATGTGTAAGAGGCCCATGGACACAATCTGCATGCCAATTACTGGAGCAGACCCCCTGATACTGGGAAATGGAAATTAGCTGTCAAGGAAAAACCGGTGTCAGCGAGGCTGGGTTTGGATTGCCTGCGCTCCCTGCTCATCTCCACGGGCGCCCTGCTCCGTGTGCTGCCGTGGCAAGGGAGCCCCCGGTGGAAAAAGTCATCTCGAAGAATAATAAAATAAAAAACAATAATCAAAACCCCCTGCCAAGTAGAATATTTTATTGTTATTCGTGTTGGTTGCCAACGTTGTGGGCACAATGCAACGTTCACCCAAGGGCAAGAGCCAGGAGGATGAGGAGGAGCAGGGAAGAGTTGGGATAATTTGGATTTTGAGGTGAGTAGATCAGCAGTGAAAGGGAAGGACATGGGAAAATGTTACCTTAAGGGTAAAGCAGATCCAGGTCTGGCTCCTTCAATGCTCTGGGATGGATGTGCCCCAGACCCACCCACTGCATCTACAGCGCCCACAAACCCCATTGCAGGGGATGTGGGGTGGGGAACACGCTTCCCAACTGAGCATTCCCCAAAATCCGGGGGGAACGTGGCTGGAAATGCACTGGGCGGAGCATACCTGCCTGAAGGAGATTCTCCATCCAAAATGGGGATGGCAACAGGCTCCCTGAAAAAGAAACAGGAGCCAGGCTGTGCTCAAACTGCTGCCCTTGGAGACACTTGGAGAGCTTTGCTGGGAGAAGGGGGGCTGGAGATGGAAGCTGGTTAGTCCTGGAGGAATATTTTGGGGGAAAATACACTGAGAACTGTAATGCCAGATCATCTGCCTCCTGCTGATCCGGGGTGGAGATGGAAGATGAATGGAAGTTAGCGAGGAAGATGCACCACCCTCTGCAGGGAAGGGCTGGAATGGGGCAGGGGGCTGAGGGAGGGGGGTGACAGGAGGGGAGTGACAGGAGGAGGAGGAGGAGAAGGAGGAGGAGGAGGAAGAAAAAGGTTACTCTTCAACCCAGCTTTGTGCTGGGGGAAGTCCAGGGGGCGGGAGCTGCTCCTCTTGGCAGCCCTTTCCTGTTTCCTGCTGGCATTCCTGGGGGGTGGCAGCGCCGAGGTTTGACGAGCATCACTTAACCTGCCTCTTGCTCCGTAATGACCTCATACATCACTCGGAGAGAGACTGCGGAGCGTGGCTGGAAGGGCTCTGCTTCCACGTCCAGCGTCATTATCCCGAGGCCCCTGGGCTCCGTGTGCAAACAGGCTGCAGATCTCCAGGGAGCAGTGCCCAGGCATCCATTATTCCTGCTCGGGAGGCTGTGCGTGGGACCAGCCTGACACCCAGCAGCATTGGGGAAAACGGGATATTCCTGCTGGCAAACTAGGAGCTCAACACTCCCGTCTGCTTCCTGCACATCTCAAATGCCCGAGGAGCTCTTCCTGCCCTTCAAGATCTTCCAGCAGCCACCTCCCATCCCAGGTAGCCCTCAGAGGCACTCCCTGCCTCTATACCACATCCAGCCCCTCCCCTACTTCCAGCTGCCCAGCTTCATGCAGTGCTCAGCCCCAGTTTAAGCAGGGGGACACCTCGGCTCCTGCCCACAAGGGACATCCTGTGCCTGACAGGGCTACCAGGTCCCCAGCATTCCCCATGGGGATTATGGCTGTCCCTCTCCTACTCCACCTGGGATTCTTGTCTCCCATCTCCATCTTTTCCCAGTCCCACAGCCCTCTGCATCAAAAGAGGCACACACTCCCCCAGGACATCTGCTGCTCAGGGTCTCCAGGGGGGCACGTGGCATGGATGAAAACCTCGTCCCTTCTCCCAGGATACTGTGGAGCAGCAGCAGAGCAGGCAGGGACTCCACAGGGACATGACAGACTGAGCCACCCACGGCCAGCACTGAAAACTGGGGATGTGTGAGCCAATCCAGTGGAACAGTGGGACAAATGCTGGGGCATAAGCTTCAGCTTTGGGATGGCTTTTTCCTAGAGAGGAGCAGTGGGATGGAGAGGATTAGGGGCATGGAGGAAGGGGATGGCAGCAGGGACAGCGGCTGGTGGGGGATGCTTGGCTTGGAGCAGGCTCAGCTCCATCACCACCCCCCCACACCCCCCCCCCGAGGCAGGAAAACCCGCACGCAGATCCCGGGAATGAGCAGGACAAGGAGGAGCTGAGCGACTCTGTTGCTTTATTGGGGGTTGTGGCAGCCCAGCCCATGGGCTCAGCTCACTCGGAGATGCTGCGGAAGGACTGGACGGCGGGACTGGCCGCTCCCCACTCCACGGGCTTGCGGTATTCCCCCTTGGGAAGCAGGTACTGCCGGCCTCGGTAGTTGGGGTGCTCGTAGAAAACCCAGACGCCCTCCAGCACCCTGCAGGCATGCACCTCACGCATGTGCCACTCCTCCATGACAGAGGGGCAGTCTTCGGTGGCTTCGAACATCTGCCCACCAAAATCGCCCTTCTCGAACACCTGGATGTGACCCCGGCCTCCACTTGGCTGGAAAAAAGGGAGAGAGTCATGGAATCATGGAATGATTCAGGTGGGAAGGGACAAAAAGATCATAGAGTTCAACTCCCTGCTGTGGGCAGGGACACCTTCCACTAGCCCAGGTTGCTCCAAGCCCCATCCAACCTGGCCTTGGACACTTCCAGGGATGGGGCAGCCACAGCTTCTCTGGGCAACCTGATGGCAAAGTGTTGAGGGGAGGTACTCACAAGTCCTGGCTCTAACAGTCACCAGCACATGGGAGCAGAGCTGGGGCACAGTCAGATTCAAATCAGGTCCAAGCCACACCCCAGCACACCAGGCCAGGGCCGAACAGCTCATGTCAGACCCCGAAAGCGCCGGGGAGAGGCAACTGGGGTAAATTTTGATGTGCACAGAGGATACAGAAGCACCGAGCCAGAGCAGAGCAGCTCCAGCTCAAACCCCATCCCAGCCCTGGCTCTGCAGAGAGAAGGCTGCAGGCAGGGATAGGGATAAGGCCAAGTCAGCAGTGCCAGGATCGCTATCCCGGGGCAGGCTTGAGCCCTTTAGCCACTCCCTGTGAGCATCTGGAGAGACGGACCCCCCCTCCATCCCCAGCTCCTCCAGCAACGAGGAGTTTAATGAGCCGCTGACCCCAGCTGGGCTGTACTGCAGCAGGGCGGGTGTTTCCCACCGGGATTTGAAGCACTGCTCTGCCCGAAGGCACCGCGGCAGCTTTTAATCTGCAGCTGCCTGGATACCCCTGCCCCGCCTCCCTGGCTCTCCCAACCCGCTCCCTCCTCGTCGCGCTCTGCGGGGTCTCAGGGTCTCCTCCAGGGCAGGAGGGAAAGCCAGGTACCAGGTGGATGTGCAGGATAAGGCTCCCGCATTTTATCCTGCTGAGGGAAGCTGTGTTACATCCCCCACGTGTGTTGGTTCCATCTCTTAGGCCAAATCAGTGCTCTGAAGGGGCTGGAAACACTCCCTGCCCTCTGCAAAGGGATTCAGACCCAGCTCAAACCCAGAACAGACTCAGAGGGGTGTTAGACCCCCAGACAGAAAAAGAAAACCCCTTCTCGGCTGTGAGACCTCCTCCATGCGGTGGGAATTCATGGCTGTGCTCCAAGCCAGCTGCGCACGGACCACCAGTGTCTGTCCCACTGTGGGCAAAACCTCAGCAGCAGCACCAATCCACACTCCATCCACACTGCCAGGTCTAAAGGGTGCTCCTCCCCACAGGTTTTCCAGTAGGATCATTCCCTCTGCTCCTTCCTCCCAATCATCATTTTGGAGGGGATGAGCACAGTTCCTGTGCTGCAGCTGGGAGATATACTCCTAACACCAGGAGATAACCAGGCTGCTCCAAGCATGCCCAAGAGGGCTCCAGACATTCCTCCTATTGTTGGGCACTCCAGGGCTGCTCCTGAGGCTGGTCTCTCCATGCCTAGAGGGGTTTGATGACACTGAGAGACAGCTCCCTGAATCAGAAAGGAGCCTTGGTTTGCCAGAGAAGAACAAACTGGTCCTGCAAAATCTGCCTCCCACTGTTACGGGCCTTGTGCCCACCATCAGTTGGATCAGTTGGCAGCACACCAGGGAAAAGGCAAACCTTGGAGCGACCTGCCTGGACACCCAAGTCCCTAAAGAACCATGCAGATGAAACCAGGCTGATGTTCTCATGGAAACCCACCCCCCACTCAAAGGGTTCTGCACTCCAGAGTGGGAAAGATTTACTTTCTCGCCTCTCCAAACACTTTGCCATTCCCAGAGCAGGACTGTGGGAACAAATCCCCCACAGCCCCCCTCTCCACGGGTCCCCAGAAAGATAGGGGCCAGGCCACCCACATGAAACCCTTCCCTGATAAATAAATTGAAACATCCCTTGGGAGGAGGTGACACTCACAATCTGGATGTACTTGCAGGAGCCCAGGCGGTCGTTGAGGCCCATCCAGTGGTGGTAGTCAGGGTACTCGCCGTGCGTCAGCACGTACATGTTCCCGGCATAGTTCGGCCTCTCGTAGGCCACCCAGGTGCCTCCATCCACACGGATCGAGTTGCAGCGGCTCAGGTAGGTGTGGAAGTCAGGGCAGTCGCTGTCACACTCGTAGTAACGGCCGAGAAAGTTCTTGTCTTCATAGAAGGTGACCTGAAACAAGCAGAGGAAGGGAAGTGGGGAGATTCCTTGTCCCAGCACATCTGAATTCCAGCCTCATCACGGTATGAAACATCTGAAAACGGAGCCTTCGAGATGTCAAAAATCATCAAGCCCAACCCCTGAGCAGGACCAACTGCAGCCAGTTCACCAGTCTGGCCCAAACACCTCCAGTCTTGCCTTTCCCAGCCCCTCATTCTGTCCCAGTCACAGAATCACAGAATCAGCCGGGCTGGGAAAGACCTCCGATTTCATCAAGTCCAACCCTGCCGTGGTTCCCAGACCATGGCACTGATGCCACATCCAGTCTCACCTCAAACACCTCTAGGGACGGTGAATCCACCTCCTCCCTGGGCAGCCCATTCCAATGGGTGATCACTCTCTCTGTGAAGAATCCAACCCAATTCTCCTTTGGTGAAGTTTCTGTCCTGTTTCCAGCAAAACTCTATTAAAATAATTCCCTCCCACCTTCTCTAGAGCAGGAGTTACTAAATTATGGCCGTGAGAAGTCAATGGACTGTACAAAGCAGCATTTCTGGGGACACGGGTTAGTGGTGGCTCTGGCAGTGCTGGGTTAACAGCTGGACTTGACCTCTGAGGGCTTTTCCAGCCTTCATGATTCCATGATTTCCTTTATACTGGCTCACCAACTGTTTGCAGTGAGACCTGCACCGACAAGATGAGGTCTCTTTGCTCCCAGGCCATGCCTTCCAGCCCATTCTCTTTGTTCCTGCTCCAACAACCCACAACTTCCCTTCTCAAAACTCACTGCCAAAAACTGGACTTTGCCTGTGCCAAGCGAAACTAAAGGAGCATTCCATGGACATTGAGTACCAGAGATCTTTGGACATCCAAGGATTGCATTGTTCTGCTGCAAGCTCATAATACAGCTGACAAATTCCCAATTCAGCACCACATTTCTTTCCCAGGAACAGCTCTACAGCCAGGCTGACCCCAAAGCACTTTGTCTGGGGACATTTTATCCTGACTTGATCACAGCCTGCTTGGAAATAATCTCGAGAGCTGGTGAGCAAGTTCCATTCCTCTGTCCCAGGGCATCACCCAGCCGGCCCTGGAGAGGCGACCCATTTTTCCTTAAAAACCCCTTCATGGAATATTGCCAAGCCCTCAACCAGAGCAGTCCTTTCTCCAGCCCCATTTTCATATCAGCTCAGCTGACAATTATTCATCAAGAGCTGCTCTTTTCAATAAGGATTCCTGAGCTATCACGTCTCTCCTGACACATCCCTTGCTTGCTCAGGACACCAGGTGCTCTAAAGATCTAAACACCCAACATTCAGTATCCCGCAATCCATTTTCCCCATGGTTTTTCCACAGCTTGGATATTAAGATTCCTCTAGCTCCTGCCTGGCTGTACCTCACCCATGGTCCTTTGGCTCCTGGTAGCATCCCCGCTGTTAAAAACATCATTCATTGTCATGGTTTCAAACCAAACCTGAGACAACTCACTCGCTTTTTATTTTCAATTATTTATTTTGTGTTAAAAATGAAGTCAGCCACAGTTTTCCTGGAGCTGGTTGGTCAGTGCGTCGCACCAGCCTGACCAGGTATCTGGGGACTTGGACTGATCCTGCCAGAGGATTCATGTCAGTGGACATTTCTTGGGATAATGTTATTTCACTCACATTTCCCTCTTAATTTCAAGGACTGATCTCCCATTGCGAAGCAGTCAGTGAGTACAAAACAATCTGTCCCCACATCTCTCCCTCCCAAGAGAGCTCTTCCCACCTTCCTGCAGTGGAGAGCTGGGAATCGCTACCACCTTTCCTGCAGGGAATAAAGGCTGTGAAAGGTGTGCACTGAAATGCCCAGTTCCTGTTTTCCCACACTGCCACTCCTGGGCAGTTGACCACGGCCAGGCCTTCCCGACCACAACCCGCTGCCATTGTCCAGATCCTGCTTCTGGATCTTTGTCCCCAGAGGCACCACCTGGAAAATCTGCCAGCATGACCTGGAGGCAACACCAAAAGCCCTGTTCACGGAGGTTTGGCGTCAGCCTCTTCCTGAGGCCAGGGGTCAAGGAAGCCACCATATCCCTTAACACCCTCCACAGGGATCCCTCTCTTCCCAGCTCAGCCATTATGTGCTGTTGGGATGGCTGAGGAGTTCTCCCCCTCTCCAGACTCATTCCCCATGCTCTGATCCACAGTCCCACCCTTGTCCATGCAGAGTGTCCAGCACTGTTGGTGAGCTCTGCCCAACATCTGTAAGACCATGGGTCTGGTCTCTGGGCAGAAGGATTCCTGGAAGTGTCTTTCTCCAGGCTGGATGAGCCTCAGAGCAACTTGGGATAATGGAAGGTGTCCCTGCCCATGGCAGGGGGTGGAACTGAATGGGACCCAAACCATTCCAGGATTTAATGATGTTCCTTCCCCACCCAGCCCAACATAGCCAAACTGGACCTTGGCAAAGCTCCCTGGTGTTCCCAGGAGGGCATTTTCCAAGAACACTCCAGGTTATGGCTTTTCCCACAGAACTATGACCAACCAAAGTGCTGCTCCTTGGTTTATTCTGGGAAGACTTAAGGAGAGGAGGAATTCTGCCCACCCATTCTCTACCATAGTCCTTTGCACACACTCTCAACTCATTTCAGACCTTCTCTTCCCAGTTTTCCTCAGGAATTCAGGTACAAACAGAGCAGGTTGATATTTTCACCCGTAGAATAATGACAGAACTAGAGACTTCAATTCCAGACTCTCACCCTCAGGCAAATCACCTTCCTTCAGTAAAACCCTCAAGGTGCTCTGCTTATATTTAACCTCTCCCTACCCCAAATCTTCCCTTTTTGGGGCTTACCTGGCAAGTGCCACATTTACCAAAGCAGATGTTCCTTATGGGAGTAAAACTCTTACTCCTTTGGTCACCTCACCTCAGTTATCACACATTTCTTCCCAACAGAAGCTCAGCTGGAAGGAAACTCTTAAAAACAAATCTAGCAGTGCCCATTGCCTTCTGTGTCAGCAGTGACCCCTTTCCAGGGGAGATCATCTGCTGAGGTTGTGAGAAATGGTGTTTAATTGTCTCCTTTGTGATTTTCTTCTCCCTGGAATGTGCTAAACAAGAGCACAGGATAGAGAAAAGATGAGATAACTCCTCCTGGGCATCTTGCACCTCAGCAGCACATAATCCATGGATTCCCTGTGGCACACTCGGAGGGGACACAGCTTTGGACAGGCTGTGCTTAAGGCTCTCCAAGGGACAGAAGACTCGAGGATGGATCAGTTACAATCCCCTGGCACTCATTTTAGGTGCAGGCACGGAAAAACTGTACCCCTGAGACCCCAGAGCCACCAGCACACCCTTCTCGGATCTCCAGACTAACAGCCAAGCCTTGTGCCAAGATCAGAACCGAGAGGAGCGCGGAGAAGCCGAGATCGAATCTGGATCATCCACAGCATCGCCTGGTGCCTGCAAACCCGCTGTGCTTCCCATATCCCCTTGGTTCTTACAGCCTCCACAGCTTAGAAGGAATCCAACTCAAAAGCAAAGCTGAGAACCTCTGCCCACAGCTACTTAGCAGGTGTTTGACATTCCATGGGGGAAACTGGCCACCACTTCGAGGCTCTCACCCTCCTTCCCTGTCCCAGCTGCTTCTCCGTGCCCGGTCCCAACCCTGCCACAAGGCCACCAACCAGCTCTGCTCAACTCAAGGCTGAGGAACACAGCACCAGAGCTGGATTCCCACCTGACACAGCACTCCAGCTGAAGCTGAGCTCCCTGGTCTACCTCCTTGTCCAGTTTAAATTCACCCCTGCCGATTCCACTGAATCCCAAGGCTGGTTCACATCCCGCAGGGAATACTATTCCCTTCAGTGCTACGGCTGATGTTCAGGAGTCTTTCTGTTGCTCCACCATGGAAAAGGGATGTGGCAGCTGCCACTGGTGTTGGGAGTCAGGTTCTCCCAAGGAAACCTTCCAGGAGACTCCGCTCTGCAAACCCAGCTCGTCACATTCCCTGCTGGCACAGCACCCTCTGCCCCCAATTTACAAGGCATCAGCTCCTGCTGATTTAAAATCATTTAAGATGTCCCCTCGCCAGTCACTACACTCAACTCCATCCTCTGGCAGAGCCACACCCAGAGTAACCAGCCAAAACCTGGGAAAAGACTTGGGAGGGGCTCCCCTTACATGAGGAGGGATTTGAGGCTTCTCCTCTTGCCCACCCGCTGGCAGAGGGGGAAGCTGTCAGCAGAGCAAAAACAAAGTTTCTCCACAACTTATCCCTGATAAATTCTGAGCTTTTGTCCAAAATCATGAATATACTGCAAATCAACTTACCTTGGTTCCAGCTCTGGACATTTTCCGTTCCAGCCAAACTCCCCTGTGCCGGAGGAATGTCAGGAGCTGTTACGAACAGCCAGGAGCCGAGGCGCCCTTTTTATAACGGGTTTGTTTTAAACCAGACAGTCGCTTTGTCATGAGAATAGGATCCAAAAATTGAGTCAGTGATTCTGAGGCTATAGCCGATTTCCAGAAAAGCAAACAGGATTATGGAATAAAGGAAGGTTTCGCCATCCTCCCTTTGTTCCCATTTGCTGAGTCAGAACACCAAAACTCTGCCAAACGCACTCAAAACACGCAGCCCCCTGCCAAGCCCGGGAGCACAAGGGGCAGTTTGGCTGCTCCCCCCCTTCCCAGCTTGTTAAAGCAGAAGGAATCCTCACTGGACCGCAGGGACCACCCCCCTTCGTAAGGAGGGGACCCAGCATTTATCAGGCAATGTTCCACGTAGCAAAGGATGCAGTTAAGGAATAGCAAACATGTGCTCGGGGCACACGCCACAGGCTTGCAAAGCACAGCCCTGCACTGAAAGCTCTCAGTGGCAACATCTGTGCAGCTTTTCCCAGGACACCCTCAGCTTGATCCACAGTGCTCCAAACAGCACCTGACACAGGAGGAATGAAGGATGCGTGGCGAGTGGTTCCACACATCCCATAGTAAAGAATGCTGTCCAAACTCCTGATTGTCTCTGCAGGTGCCACAAATCCAACTCCAAACTCTCCCCCCACCACCTGAGGTTGGAGCAAAGGCGTTTTCCCCTCCAGCCACACTTTGGGTGCAGGGCAGGGAGGCCGAGGCTGGCTGGCTGACACACACCCACCCCCCCCACCACGGCATTATGAAAAACCAGCTCTGCAGCTATTCAGTGCCCCAGCCCAAAGGCTTAGGGAGACAAAGGGACACGAATTTGGCACAGCAGCACCCGAAACACGCAGCCCCTCTTTCAAATCTGTCAGGCCAAGCACTCTCGCAACAGCAGCTCCGCTCAATGCAGGCAGATCCGAGAGCCTGGGGCACACATGCCCAGCAGCAGCTCCTCTTCCCATTTTAGGTGCCTCTAATCACCCACTGCTGTTGCTCTCGGTTGAATTTATTCATTTTTGAACCCAAATGCTGTTTTATGGAGATCACAGTTCAAGCATGAGCCAGGTACTATCAGTAGGTGTGGTCTCTTCACACATTCCTCCTTTAAAAGTTGGCTAAATCTTATAAGTTAATCTCACATGAATAAAATAAATATAATAAACTCACCCCACCTGCCAGCCCAGGAGCCAAGGGAGACCCTCAGAAGGATTCTGAAGCTGTGCACACAGAGCACTGTGCCTTCCTCTGGCTCTCAGCTTGGAGAGGTCTTCCAAAGGCATTGCATGGATGAGTGGAAGCAGCAGCTGGTGGTGCCTTTCTCTGTTTTCTGAGTTTATTTAGGTGCTCAGGCACAAGTACATCTCCTCTAACAGCTCCCACCAGCACAGGAGAATGGTGCTTAGTCAAGCTGATATTCTTCATGAGAAATATGGAGCGCAGCAACAGTGTTTGTATCAAAACCCTGTGCCAGGACAGCCTTCAAACCCTTCAGCTCCATGGCTGGCAAGAAATGAGGATTTTTCTCTCACTGACTTGTTCCCATTTCATTAAGATTAAAGGTGTTGTGTCCCTCTAACACCCTCTGTACAGGTAACAGCCCTTCTCTAGGACAGGTGCCACGTTTATCCAAGAACTCTGGTTTATTGACAGTTGTCAACCATGTACAAAAGTTCATTCCATAAAATCCTAGCGCTTACAAAAGTTCGTCCCATAAAAACCCCATCATTTAAGTGCCATTTTCATATTAAAAAAACCTACTGGATTGAATTCATAAAATAGTCAAACACTTCTTTTTCACATTTATAAAACCACTGCAGCTGGTTTGTACCATGAAATGCAGGTGATGCCCAGGGCCCTGCATCCAGCTTTGTCCCAGGATCCTGGTGTGCTGGATACCTGCACACATGGACACCCACCATGACGTCACCTCTGCAACAAGGTACAATTTCATCATCCTCCAGTGCCATCTCAGTCACCAACAGGATAAGTACAGCACATTCCTGGGAAGGCAGCAGTGATCAAGAATCCTAGAGCAGCCAGACAGTCCAAGGCTGGGTGTTGGATCCAGTGAGTCCAGGCAGGATGGCCACAAAGTCTTAATGGGAACTGAGTTGGGGGTATTGCTACCTGTTCCCTGAGCTCTGGAACAAAATAAAAGGAGCAGATTTTACTCCCAACACTAGCAAAGAAAAAGGCATTCCATGACCAAACCAAAAATAATCCAGCTTTCTGATGGTCTGAAACATGCCATGGCAGAGAAAAAGGATAAGGGTAGATCTCCAGCTCCTAAACCACTTCTGCTTGGGAAGAGACACTACGAAGGAAGAATCACCCACAGTCTCACCCAGTTCTCTTCAGCAAAGGTGAGATGGGTAAATAGACATCAATCCACACAGTTCCTCTAAAGGAACATCTCTTCCAACCAGTTGGACACCCCATTATGTGCAACATGTCCATGTTGTGCCTTTACAGATGTCTCCAACAAACCAAACTTGACAACAAGGTAGGTGCTGAGGACACAGATTTCCACTGAAAATAAGAACTAAAACAAAATGCAAGGCTTTGGGGAGAACATTCACTGAACAGCTTGTTCTACCTCTGCCTTGGCTCTGCACGCAAACATGGCACAATTCTTGTAGGTAGAGAAGAACCAGGAGGAACAGGCCTTTCACTTACCCTTCCTTTCCTTCTGTGCTGAGGAAGGGGATGTTATCCTGCTGCCTGCTTGGATCCCATGGCAAGGGGGACCAGGCTGTCCAGCTGCTGCCGGTTCCCCGTCTGGACTAGCCACTCATAGAACTTGTTTTCTACCAACATCTGGAGCCGTTTCCTCTGATCCCTGAAACCAAAAGATCAATGGGAAGTATGGAAAAATCACATTTGTTTACAATGTTATGCCTCTACCTTACCTGTACTACCCAAACAAGCCTCCAGATATACCAGGAAGAGCCAGCCCTGGCTCCTGAACGCTCTGGACCAGGAAGAGAAGGCTTTTACCAAGGGAATATGATGACAATGAACCCCAAAGGCAGAACTTGGTGGAGTCAGAGAAGCCATACAAACTTCCCAATCCCACAAGCACAACCACCCTGTTCCACAGGGCTGCTTCCACTTACCTCCTGATTAAAAACTGTCTGAAAAGGGAGAAAAATCAGTATTAGTAACCAATGTTTAAGCACTAAGGACTCAAAATTCTGTTCTGACAGTACCTGGAAGAGAAAGGATGGAGATGAGGGAAAAAAAATGCACCTATGAACACTCCTTAAATAATTCTTGCTGTTGGTAATTAACTTTTGGGGTGGTTTTGATAAGACCAGCAGTCACAGGGTGTCCCACAGCTCAGGCTCCCTGGCACTGCTCAGATGCCCAAGAGCAGCTCCAGAACAGCATCCCAGCCCTCTGGGATCAGCTCACCTCCGGAATTTGTTAAGCCAAAAGTGGCACAGGTGTTGAGCAGTCCCTGCCGGACTTTTTCCATAAGTTTACACAATTAATTTCTGAACACCAATAAAACATGAACATTTGTCAGTATTCTGCAGATTTGACGTGGGTTTGCTTTGAAGCCATTCCTAATTTGATGTGCTGATCCCATTCTGTACTGGGAAAAGCAGGAAACCAGCTCCAGAGGAGGTCACTAAGATAATCAAAAGGATGGAGCAGCTCTGCTGAGAGGAAAGGCTGAGAGAATTGGGATTGTTGAGCCTGGAGAAGAGAAGCTTTGAGGTGACCTAATTGTGGCCTTTCTATACTTGAAGGAGCCAACAAGAAAGACAGAGAGAGACTATTTCCAAGGGCCTGGAGTGACAGAACGAGAGGGAATGGTTTTAAACTGACAGTAAGTTTAAATTGGATTTGGGGAAGAATTTCTTCCCTGTGAGAGTGGGGAGGCCCTGGCACAGATTGCCTAGAGAAGCTGTGGCTGCCCCAGCCCTGGAAGTGTCCAAGGCCAGGTTGGATGGGGCTTGGAGCAACCTGGACCAGTGGAAGGTGTCCCTGTCCATGGCAGGGGGTGGAACCTGGCTGGATTTTTAAGGTCCCTTCCAACCCAGGCCATTCATAGAATCATAGAATTAACTGGGTTGGAAGAGACCTCCGAGATCATCAACCCCACTGTGATTACCAGATCATGGCACTCAGTGCCACATCCAGCCTCATCTTAAAAACCTCCAGGGACAGTGAATCCACGACCTCTCTGGGCAGGCCATTCCAATGCCTGATCACTCTCTCTGTAAAGAACTTCCTTCTAATATCCAACCTAAACCTCCCTTGACGCAGCTTAAGCCCGTGCCCTCTTGTCCTACTGATTGCCTGAGAGGAGAGACCAACCCCCACCTGGCTACAACCCCCTCTCAGGTAGTTGTAGAGAGTGATGAGGTCACCCCTGAGCCTCCTTTTCTCAAGACTAAACAACCCCAGCTCCCTCAGCCTCTCCTCATAGGACTTGTGCTCAAGTCCCTTCACCGGCCTGGTTGCTCTTCTCTGTACCTGCTCCAGCACCTCAATATCCTTCCTGAACTGAGGGGCCCAGAGCTGAACACAGCACTCCAGGGGTGGCCTCACCAGTGCTGAGTACAGGGGAAGGATCACTTCCCTCATCCTGCTGTCACACTCTTCCTGATACAGGCCAGGATGCCATTGGCCCTCTTGGCCACCTGGGCACACTCTGGCTCATGTTCAGCTTCCTGTCGATCAGCATCCCCAGATCCCTTTCTGCCTGGCTGCTCTCCAGCCACTCCATGCCCAGCCTCTAGCGCTGCATGGGGTTGTTGTGGTCAAAGTGCAGGATCCGGCACTTGGCCTTGTTGAACTTCATCCCATTGGAATCAGGATTCTATGATTCTATTCCTTTTTGTCCCCCTCAGCTCCATGTACCCACCCCCTTTTTCCAAGTTAAAGGCTGCTTTTTGCAGAAATTCCATTCCCCAAAAAGCAGGGTTCTGGGACAGGGAACTAACCCAAATTCCTCCCCAGTGAACACAAAGGCAGTCACTTCTTTCTTCTCTTATGGATTTATCTTCTCCCAGTGCTTTTTCTCTACCTTGATCTGCTACTGACCCTGAAAGACTTTCTGTCTGATACGCTTGGAAAATGAATAAACAGGATTTTATGCTTTTGCAAGTTGCTCCTCAAGCTGTCTTACTGCTCCTGTCTTACTGGGGTTTTACTTTCAGCCTGGTAGGATTTACATTCTTTTTCTGCCCCACTTTCCTCATTCAGACAACTTCAACTTCTTGAAAGAAGTCTTCTTATTTCTAACACTCCCTTTCACCTCCCCACTCAAGCACGGCGGCTTTTTCCTTTCTACAAGCCCGACATCCTGTTTGCTCTAAGCTTCCTACTTGTCTCCTCAGTTGTTTCCCTGCCTGCAGGAGACAAGAGAGACATTTTCCACTGTCAGCTGCCCAGTTTCTTTTCAACAAGCTTCTAAACTTGCCACAGTTTTCCCCCTTTTATGGAATAAGCCACTCCAGGAGTGAGCTCCTGTCTCCTCTGACTGTAGGATGGCAGATCTAAGCACATCATCCCTGTTTCCTCACACTTCTTTAACAGGAAGGTTCTGACAGGCCAAACACCTTCCCAAAACTCTGGGGGGAAGAAGTACCACAGCTAGAGGGGGAAGCATCTTGGATGAGCTGATGGACACAAGGGATGACTCCAGTCTCCTCTCTACTGCTCTTGACGACTCAGGGTTGGGAGTTTGAAGGTTTTCACACCTCTGTCCCCACCTCTGGGTCAGGACTGCTCTGCCATCCTCCTCCTGTAGCAAAATCCTGCCCCAGAATCCTTTCTCTCTCCCAGTCTAGAGCTCTTTCAAAGTGCTCATTCCTCCTTGCTCAGCATGGAGGCACCTGGATTTCAGAAAGGAGCACAGGAAGCAGAGGGAGCTCCTCCAAAAGCAGGAATCATCAAATGGGCCAGGACTCCTCAGCCTGGTACAAGGGGAAGCATTGACAGTTTGCCTCCTATTCTGTGTTTCCCAGAGGATAAACCCCTCCTGGATCACTGTTATCAGCACTCAGTTACACCCTGGTACCAGTCAGTGACTAAGCAGAGAACAGAAAAAAATCTACACAGCTTAAGCTCAGCTTAAGGAACAAAACTTTTTCTTATCAAGTCTTCACAAATGAATGTTTGAAATGGGGTTTCTATCCCCAAAATGTGCTTGCAAAGGAAGCTGGGCAGGGGATTCAATGGGATCAGCTCAAGAGGAATTTCAGAGTTCCTGTCCCGGGGTGACCTGCTGCAATGATCCATAGGCACATTCCCAGCTCACCTCAACAAGGGAAGGGACAGTCATCTTAAAGCTTCAATCCCAAGGTAAATGCGGGGCTGAGAGGGACCCCAGGCAGTAGCAGGACAGTGATGTGGTTCAGGACACACACCCAGCCCTGCCCACAGCACTGGCAGCAGAACAGACACTGGGCAGGACCCAGAGTCCTGCCAGGGTGGATCCCTCCCCTCAGCCCTCAAGCAGTGTCCAGGAATGCTTTCCCTGGAGTCTCATGAGCTGGGAAAATGCAACCATGAGAAAGCACCTCCTCCAGAGCAGCATGGGCAGCAGGTGAGGGAGGAGATTCTCCCCCTTTACTCCACTTGGTGAGACCCCCCCCTTGCTGTGCTGCCTCCAGCTCTAGGGTCTCAACACGGATGTGGAGCTGCTAGAGTCCACAGGAGGCCATGGCGATGCTCCAAGGGCTGGAGCCCCTCTGCTCTGGAGCCAGGCTGGGAGAGCTGGAGGGGCTCACCTGGAGAAGAATCCAGGGAGACCTTATAGCACCTTCCAGTGCCTGAAGGGGCTCCAGGAGAGCTGGAGAGGGACTGGTGACACGGGATGGAGGGACAGGACACAGGGAGTGGCTTCCCACTGCCAGAGGGCAGGGAGAGATGGGATATTAGGAAGAAATTCTTGGCTGTGAGGGTGGGGAAGCCCTTGCACAGGTTGCCCAGAGAAGCTGTGGCTGCCCCTGGATGCCTGGAAGTGTCCAAGGCCAGGTTGGACGGGGCTTGGAGCAACCTGGGGTAGCGAAAGGTGTCCCTACCCATGGAATCAGGTAGAACGACACAACCTTTAAGGTCCCTTCCAACCCAAACCATTCTGGAATTCCATAACTCAGAGCTACAAGTGTGAGCGTTCCCTGCTCACCTTACCAACCAGGATTGCTAATGACTAATGCCCCAGAATTGACCCATAGGACACAGCTCACCCCACCCAACCCATTCTCAAAGCATTTTTATGGAACCACATCAAATGAATCTCTGGGAATGGCTGAACTCAGCCACTCCTGCCGGGCCCAGCACTCACTTGGTCAGACCCGCCTCCTTCACCGTGCGCTGCCACACCTGGACCCGCTGCTCCCGCTGCCTCAGAGCCTCCTGGTATTCCTGGGGGAGCCCCCCCGGCGTCTCCATGGTGTCTCCTTCCATCTCAAAGGGAATCACAAAGGTGTAGAAGTCCGAGGGGGGCAGGAGGCGGAACACACTCGAGTCACTGCTCTCCCTGCACACCAACATGGGGCTGTCCCAGTAGTTGGGCAGAGTGGCCAAGCCCACCTGAGCCATGTGGTCCTCCAGCATGGGATAGTGGGTGTGGAAAGGGGCAAAGCTGACTGCCTGATTCCCCGAGAGGATGAGGGGCTGGGTGGGTGTCAGAGTGTAGAAAGTGCAGCCAGTGGTGGATGCCAGGGACAGGCGGTGGCAAACCACCATGACCCTGACGTTGTCACAGCTCTGCACGTGCACCGACATCTCCACGGGGCCCAGGACAAACGTGCTGCTCCGGCACTTCTCGATGGTCACAGAGCTGCCAAAGAACCACAGGCAGTCAGGGCTGGAAGGGACCTCTGGAATCACCCAGTCCAACCCCCTTGCCAGGGCAGGGTCACTCAGAGCAAGTGCCACAGGAACCAGGCGAGTTTGGGATGTCTGCAAAGAGGGAGATTCCACGCCCGCCCTGGGCAGTTCCAGGGCTCTGCCACCCTCCATGAAAAAAAGTTCTTCCTCATGTTGAGGTGGAACTTCTTGTGGTTCAGTTTATGGCCATTGCTACTCATCCTATCAGTGGGCACTCCTGGGAAGAGCCTGGCACCATCCTGACACCTGCCCTGGAGATATTTATATGGACTGATAGGAACCCCTCTCAGATATTTGTATGGATCAATGAGATATTTGTATGGATTGATTGGATTCTCTGTCAGGTGAGGTATTTTTATGGATAGTTGTATAGATTGATATTTGTATGGATTGGTAAGATGCCCTCTCAACCTTCTCTTCTCCAGACTAACCAGGCCCAGCTCCCTCAGTCTCTCCTAATTAGAGATGCTCCAGTCCCTTCCTCATCTTTGTGGCCTCCACTGGACCCTCTCCTTGTCTCTCCTGTCCTGAGGAGCCCAGAGCTGAACCCAGCACTCAACGTGCCTCACAGGGCTGAGCAGAGGGGCAGGGTCCCCTCCCTGACGTGCTGGCTCTGCTCTCCCTGATGTCCCCAGGACCCCATCAGCCCTCGAAGACTGCAGGTGCCTCCCAGGAGAACCAGAGCTCACCGGAGGGGGGACAGGAGGTAGATGAAGGACTCATTGCAGCGATGGATCCTCACATGAGCCCCCACCAGGGTGTCTGAGCTCTTGGCCAGGGTCTGCCTGTACACCTGGCTCATGATCACCATGGGGGACACCTCGGGCACCACCCGGGCACTGCAGGCAATCTTGGCTCTCCTGGTTGCTCCTTCAACTGCAGCACAAAGCGCACAGAAGTTCATGGTCCAGAAATCCCTCGGGAAAACAATCAGCCCCACACTTGGACAGCACTTCCTACACCTCCCACACCATCCCCAATCCCCACTGGGCAGGCAGCTCACAGCACTGAGAAACTCCAGAAACTGGGAGACGTTGGAAGATCCCAACCACTTCAAGATTATTTAGGAGCAGCCAGAGGCCCCCATGGGATTTCCACTTCCACAAGTCTCTTCCCAAACCCAAGGCTCGGCCTGGCAGGAAGATCCTGAGGGCACATTTAAAATGAGGGAAATGCCCCTCCTAGAGCACAGTCCTTGAGCTCTTCCCTGGGCTCCCTAATCCACTGCCCCTCCCAGGATCCTGCAGCCAGGGAAACAACACTGAGCCAGTTTCCTTTTTCTGAGGCGGCTCCATGTCCCTGCAGGAGAGGGGCTGGACTGGAGACTAGGAAAGCCAGACCAGTTCCCACCCCACTGCCAGATCCCTGCTCAGCAGGATGAGCTGAGTTCCTATTTCTCGGGGTATTTTCCTAAATTTCTATTTATTTTCCAGTATTTCTACATTTCTTTGTATATTTCTAAATTTGTATGTTTGTATTTTAATATTTTTCAATATTTCTGTATAATTCTATCTTTTTTTATATGTTCTATATTTTTATTTTTCTATATTTTTATTTTTTCTAGATTTTTATAATTTTCATATATTCCTATTTTCCCCACACATTCCCGTCTTTTTCTGCATACTCCCATTTTCCCACACATTCCCATCTTTTCCTGCATACTCCTATTTCCCCATTTTCCCACATTTCTCCCACGTGCTTCCCCATTCCCAAATCCAGCCGTGTCTCCCAGGCACCCACCTTGCTGTGCCCATGCCAGCTTCCTGCCTGCCCTGATGCAGGCGGTCATTCCCAAGGGATTGGCAGTGAGGCAGGAGCGGATCCAGCTCTCCAGGCGGGGCAGGGAGAAGGCTCTGGTGCCCTCAGAGAAGCCATTGTGGGGCCGGCAGGGCGGGCACAGGGCCAGCTCGTGGAGCGGTCGCACCGCCCGGGAAGCGCCCACGGAGCCCTCGAGCAGGAGGCTCAGGGCACTCAGGGCCTCCAGGGACACCAGGCTGCTGGAGCTGGAATGGGACGAGGCTGAGAGCTGCTCCGGCTCCAGCAGCAGCTCCAGCATGTCCAGGAGGTGGCTCTGCACGAAGGCGCAGTGCTCCTGGTCATTCCAGTTCTGGAGGGGGCAGGAAAACACAGGTGAGGTGAATGTTCCAGGCTGGGAAACTCCAAGGGCATCACACACTGGATCCTTGCTAAGAATTCCTCTAGAATGTCAAACATGTGGTTGGGACAAGCTGGAATCATGAAAAACTTCATGCTCATTCCTGCTCTTCCAAGGCACACAAAGCCACCACCCCCCAAAAATTAAACCCCATTTTATTTTAAGTCAAGCAGCAAATATTTAATCCTAGAAAGCAGTAACAGATTGTCCCACCCAAATCCAGGGAACTGCTGCTGGCACTGGAAGGGACAGAACAAATCAATAACTGGCAGGCAAGGTCTTGGAGCTGCTCCATTGGAAAAGCCTAGCTGGGCCAGGATTCCAGGACAGAAGTGCCACCTTCCAGGGTAAAAAGCTGAGGGTCATTTCTCCAATACACCAAACAGCCTCTGAAAGAATCCTTAGTTCAAATCCTAAAGCACTCATGCCCAGAAAAAAAGCAGGAGACTGGAATTACAGCAGAGCTTAATAAAGCCAAGCTTTGCTGAAGGAACACACCTTGTGCTCACCACCATCTGTTCAAAGATAAAGCTTTCCAGCTCCTATTTTTAATGATTCCAGCTTGTCCCAACTACATTCCACCAGCTCATCCAGCTCCCAGCAGCACATCCATGTCAGAATTCCAGAGGTTTGCAGCTGGGGTGGCCAATTTGTAACTCAGCCTCCCACCCAGAGCTGCCCACGGGACACATCTCACTCACTCCTTCCTAAATATTTGGCGGTGATTTAAAAGGAAACAGCACTTCCACGTGGCTGATCTGCAGCTGAACAACCAGCTCCCCTCCCTGACGCAGAACCTGAGGCCAGGGAACACCCTGGGATCCAACAGTCCCACTAGAGCACGGGAAAGGAACTATAAAGACAAGAAAAGCGTCCTGTTTGAATAATGGAAAAAGGCAAAGGGGCCGTTACTCCTTAAAAGGAGAATTGCCAGGACTCGTGGGGAATTTTCAGTTGCCTTCCGACTCCAGGAAAGCCTCATGGAAAACTTTTTAAAAGCTTTTCATTAACTGCAGAGAGAACACACCAACTCTGCCTCATTTACCATGGAACATGGATTTTGCACTTGGAGGGAACAACCCAGCCCCTTCCCGATGCCCTCGGGGCAGATCCCAAGAAGGGAGAAGCTCCTGTACGTGGAAGATCTCACAGGCACAGATACCTTATTCCCGTTGGCAGACTTCCCAGGAAAACCGGGAGGTTCGGTCCTGGGGCTGGGCCACTCATCGCCGAGCAGGGACCTGCGCAGGGACAACCTGTGGAGCTGCTGCAAGTACAGGAACAGCAGGAACTGCAGCGTGTCCACGGACAGCTGGAGAACGGGGAGAGAGGGAGAAGAGTCAGGATCCCCTCTTAGGCCGGGCCTGGGCTCCCCCAGCCTTGGGCCGGCTCTGGGCTCTTGCCTTGCTCCTCTCCCGCTCCAGCTCCTCGGCAGTGGCACAGGAGGCCTCCGCCTCGGCCCAGCGGAGACGGCGGGGCGGGTCGGGCCCGAGGAGGCCGTGGAACAGCTCGAAGTAGAGCCAGGCGAGGTCGCGGCCGAGCTGCAGCTTCCCGCAGGCGATGTGGCGCCAGCGGGGCCAGCGCAGCCGCGGGAAGCACCCCTGGTCGGCCCTGGCGCGGGCGTAGGCTGCGGCCTTGCGCAGGTAGTGCGGGGCGAGGCGGGGGGGCGGTGGCGCCGGCAAAGCGCCCGCCAGGAACGGCTCCGTGCGCGCCCAGAGGCGCACCGGGCCCGCCGCCATGGCCGCCGCCACTTCCGGGTTTCGCCCCGGGCACCACCGAGATGGGCCCTTCCCTCCCTCTCCGGAGCCGCCGTTCATTGGTCCCGTCCGCCGGCGCAGGGGCGGGGCTAAGCGACGTGCACGTCGATTGGCTGCGCGGAGGGAAGTCGGGGTGAGGTGTGCCCGGCGCGCTGGGCGGCGACGCTGCGGCCGGCGATTGGCCGGCGGCGCTGAAGTGTGCGCAGCCCATTGGCCGGCGGCGCTCAGCGCGGCGCTCCCATTGGCTGTCTGCGGGCACCCCGCGCCCCCATTGGCCGGGGTCGGCCGAGGGGCGGGTTCGGAGCCGTCGCCGCCGCCGCTCCCTCAGGGCCCGGCCCGGCCCCGCCATGGCCCCTGCCTGGATCGGGCGCCTCTGCCTCCTCCTGCTCTGCCTCTGCGGGGAGACCGCCGCGGGGTGAGTGCGCTGGGACGCGCCCTCGGCACTGGGGAGTGTGGGGGTTCAGCCTCGGCGCCGCGCCGCGCCCCCCGAGCTCGGAGTCGGCGGCTGCGGTGCTGACGAGACCCGCTCCTTTTCCCCTCATCACTTCCCCTCATCCCATCCCCTCATCTTTTCTCCTCATCCCTTCCCCTCATCCCTTCCCCTCATCCCTTCCCCTCATCCCATCCCCTCATCCCATCGCCTCGTCCCTTCCCCCCATCCCATGCCCTCATCCCATTCCCTCATCTCTTCCCCTCATCCGTTCCCCTCATCCCTTCGCCCTCACCCCATTCCCTCATTCCTTTCCCCTCTCCCATTTCTTTCTCCCTCCCTGTCTCTCGTGCCCTCTCTCTTCTGTCCCTTTTCCCTCCTCATCGCCTCTCCCTTCCCCTCCCGTTCTCCCCATCCCCTGCTCCTTTTTCTCTCTCCCTTCCCATTCCTTTGCCTTCCCCTTCCCCCTCCCTCCCCATCTCCCATCTCCTCTCTCTCCCTTTCCCTTCCATTTCTCTCCCCTTCTCACCCCTTCTCTCCATCCGCTTCTCCTCTCCCTTCCTCTCCCTCCCCTCTCCCCCTGCAGGAGGGATTTCTACAAGATCCTGGGGGTTTCCCGCGGCGCCTCCATCAAAGACATTAAGAAGGCCTATCGCAAGCTGGCGCTGCAGCTCCATCCCGACAGGAATCCCGACGACCCGCGGGCGCAGGAGAAGTTCCAGGACCTGGGAGCTGCCTACGAGGTGAGACCTGGAGCCGAGAGTGTCCTTCTGGAGTCAGGAAGGGTGGAGAGGGCTCATGGAGCCAGGGAGATTTGAGAGGATCCGTCCTGTAGCATTCTATAGGGGAATGAGAAAGGTAATGTGGGGAATGGGAAGGCTCTTCATAAGGTCCAGGTGCAATCCATCCTCCCCCTGTTACCATGGCAAATTCCATGCTCTCCCTGTCAGTTTGTTGAATTCTGTCCTACATCTTTTATTATCATGAAATGCTCTGAGTTGGAAGGGACCTTATGGATCATCTCATTCCACCTCCTGCCATGGACAGGGACCTTCCACTATTATATCAAATTCCCTCCTTTCTTTCTTCTACTTCCATCAAATTCCATCCTTCCCCTGTTACTGTATTGGATTTTATCCTATACCTTTTATTCTCATGGAATCTCAGGCTGGTTTGGGTTGGAAGGGACCTTAAGGAGCACGCCTCGCCCACTGGGTGAAACTCGTGAAGGCACCTGTGGTTTTGTCCCTGTTGCTGGCATTTATAACTGGCATTTATAGAATTCCAGAATGGTGTGGATTGGGAAGGACCTCAAAATCCATCTCATTCCACCCCCTGCCATGGGCAGAGACACCTCCACTAGCCCAGGTTGCTCCAAGCCCCATCCAGCCTGGCCTTGGACGTTTCCAGGGCTGGGGCAGCCACAGCTTCTCTGGGCACCCCAAATTTCAGGCTGGTTTTCATGGTTTAGCTGCTTTTCCTCCTGTTCCCACTCCTCTCCAGCCTTCTGGGAGCTCACCTGGCAACTCTGACCTTCCCAAATAGATCAACAGGAAAAGGAAGAGTAAATGTGATCAGAACTTTAGAATTAAAACTGATGCTTCACAGTCTTAGAAGTCCCAACTGAGCCACAGGGGTGGTGGTGTATGATTTTTTTTTTTCAGTGTGTCCTTGTAGGATTTGAGTTATTCCTTCTAATTTGTGTTTAATATTTAAGATAAAGTCAGTGTGTATATTTTCCATGTTGTTTTAATAATCTGAGTGTAATTTTTTATGGGTTTAAGTGATAAATGCTTAACTCTTTTGGACCAGCACAGCAAGCAAGCCCTAGACAAGGCATCTGTGACATAAAGCCTGGCTAGTTGTCCCCAAGTGCAGAGTGCTGTACCTTCAGAGCCTTGTTAAACAACTCCCTTAAGCTGCAGGTGATGTCTTTCCTGCTTCCATGTGTTTTCCAGGTGCTGTCAGATGAGGAGAAGAGGAAGCAGTATGACGCCTACGGTGAGGAGGGACTGAAGGATGGGCACCAGAGCTCCCATGGAGACATCTTCTCCCAGTAAGGAGGTTTTCCCACTTTAGGCTGGTCTCCAGCTGCTGCTCTGATTTTGTGATGCTCAAGCACATGTCCAGAGACACTGCTGTGAGAGTTGAGAACCCGAGGAAATATATTTACAGTGGTATCCCACATGAAATTCTCAGTTTGGTTGTGCATCACTTCCTGCTACAAGAGCTTCCCACATGGACACCCCTGTGGGTGATTTTTCATGTGCAGCACCTTTATCAAACACATGGGGATTTTCCCAAGTTCCCTGTGTGTGACTGAGGTTTAATCTGTTGGCACACCACGTGTGCCCTTTGGGGACACTTCTTCTGCAAAGTGTTGCTGGGGTGACTTTCACAGCAACTGTGGAATTTGGAGCATTACAATCCGAAGGCAGCTGCACCTGATTTTCTGCCCCTTTGGATCAGCCAGGCACAAACTTCCTAAAGTCATTCCTGAAGTTGCTCATCTCATGTGATCTTGGGTGAGAACTCACACTGCCTCTGGAGGACAATATACAGATCTTCTAGGAATTTTTCCTCACCCCTTTTGTCCTCAAACCATTGAAAACCAACCTACTTAGACATGACACCTTGTAGTGGCAGCTGAGCAGCAGTGCACATCAGAGGGGACTTCCCTTGGGCAGATTTTGAGATGTTCCTATTCCAAAATGTGGTTCCTTTAATACAGAAAACTGTTCCAAAGCAGCTGCTTTGTCTGGAGTGTCCTGGAGGAGCAAAATGAGGTTTCTGGGTTTCCTCTAGAGCTTTAGGACTGTGAGGAGGCTGTTCTTTAGCAGGATTGAAGCATTTGCCCAGGATTCCTTCCTGAACTAACCCATGTGCTTTGCTCCAGCTTCTTTGGGGACTTTGGATTCATGTTTGGAGGGAACCCTCGCCAGCAGGACAGGAACATTCCCCGGGGGAGTGACATCATCGTGGACTTGGAGGTCACGCTGGAGGAGGTTTATTCAGGGAACTTCGTAGAAGTAAGTTCACTTTCCAGAGTGCTGCCAGGTTTGAGGTGCCTGACCAGTGCTCAGAATATCTCCCCCCAAAAAACAGCTCCAAGAGATGCTCCTTTTCACAGTGTCTGCCCGTGAGGGATGTTGTGGTGCTCTTTGCTGTAGCTTACTGAAGAAACCACACATTCATCCACCTTTTCCATCTGGCTGTCTCTGGAAAGTGGGATAATACTTATTTATTGGCTGTCAGTCACTAGCTGAGCTGTTTTAGAACAGGTGTAGAATTTAATGATGTTTGAGGGCCTGTTCATAAGCCTCCAATTCACTTTACAATCCCTTCAAAACCATACTGAGGATTTTTCATGGTCTCTCTAGGTGGCCAAACATGTCACTGCAAGTTTTTGGATTATATAATTGGGAGAAGTATGTGAAAATTGCTATTTCTTTTAAGCAAACTCCATTTCTGGTGCTGACAATCCCTCCTGTTCTGCACATTGATGTTTGCATTGACTGATTTTGTGCTGTCGGTGTTTGGGGAACCTGAAATAATTTCCCCGTTCTGTGGGACAAGGAAGTATCACAACCAAAGTGTGAGGTGTTCCATCCTGGTGTTCCCTTTCCTGTGTAGAAAGGTGTGCAGGAAAAGGAAAGGAAACGGCAACTGTGGTGTCAGAGAGAGTTTTCCTGGTGTTTAATGTGTGATCACAAGGTGAAAATTTGGGATGTTTTGCTGAGGTCACACACAAAAACGGGGCACTGGGTTGGAATTAGATGATCCTCAAGGTCCCTTCCCAGCCAAACCGTTCGGTGTTCAGGCTGTTTGAGAAATCCAGACCCTTGTGGAGACCCAGGAGTGCTGGCACCAAGCTCTTCCTCTTCCCTGCAGGTTGTCAGGAACAAGCCAGTGGCCAGACAGGCGCCGGGCAAACGGAAATGCAACTGCCGGCAGGAGATGAGGACAACCCAGCTGGGGCCTGGGCGCTTCCAGATGACCCAGGAGGTCGTTTGTGATGAGTGTCCCAATGTCAAGTGAGTTGGATACTCTTCACTGCTTCTCAGAATCCTAAATCCTGTGATTTTACCGAGCAATATGGGGATGTTTATTCCCAAACCGACCGCTAGGTGGGGGAAAGTGCCTGTATTCCCAGTAAGTACTGGGGAATGTGGGAAGTCCTAACACAGGTTTCTCATTTTCGATGGGCCAGTCTATTCTTGCAGCAGAGCTCTGTTAGATGGAAAGGTCCCCACTTTCCTCTTCCAGCCTTTTATTCCTTGCACAGTCACACTACAGTGGAGTGCTGCAACTAAATCTGGTTCAATGCATTTGGGGAAGCACACAGCTTCCAGCTGGGAACAGCTGGACATGGAATGCCGTGTTGTGGTCACACATCCAGGTGCTGCCTGCGCGTTTAGGAGCTTTTAACTTTGCCTTCCCTACTAGCTGAGCACCTAGAAAAGGCAGCACTGACCCTCCAGTTATAGGTGTGAGCAAGGCAAGAGTACATATGAGCTTCTGGGGATGTTCCCATTACCCCTTAACACACATAAAAAGCTGGAA